ATATATATATATATATATTTGGCACAGATGCCAAAAATGTGTTTGTGCTGTGAAAGCAAGAGAACATAAGAGCAAGAGGCAGCAATAATAGCAGCTATCTTAATGTGAGAGATGATTTCTTTACAAGACAGACAGCTATAAATCCCTTTGGCGCCATCTCTGCATGATGCATTCCCTAAATGGGGTTGAGAGCTAATGAATTATGAACAAAGATTAAGAATAACATGCATGGCAGATAATACCAGCAGATTCATCAGTGAGTGATCTCTGCTTGTTAATTGCATAATGCTGTTGGTCTATAAAACTAACAATCAGAAATTGCTTGTAGAAGGTTTGGCAGTGTAGACTGTCATTACCGCGACCCAGACGAGTACACCTTACACTCCTTTAGGTCCTAATAATGATGCGTACCAATAAATGGTTGTGGATTAGTTTGGAGAGGAAATGCAGACACCGCTAACACGTCTCCCTGCAGAGGCAGTTTGTGTTTGTTCATTCCCTCTCCCCCTCTTTCACCGGGGTAAATATTTAGTTCAAATAACAATCATTTTCCAAAAGATGAGTTTAATCAGTGTAACCGTGAGCAAATGGAGAAAATCAAGAAAGGCTAGTGAAGCTAAAAGTGTCAAAGCTGTCCTGCTTCAGTCAGCATGCTAAACCCTGTTATGTCATTTATATTTCTTAAATTTTTAGATTATAAGCGAAAACTAATCTGAATTAGTCAAACATTCCTATATAAACTAGAGTTTCTGTTATTAGAAAATGAATAAATGATGTTATAAAATTTATTTTTAAGTCTGTAGCCTTAGATTGCCACTGTGACGTTCTTCTGCTGACCTTTAATGACTTATTCAGTACCCTCATAGAGCTGTAGTGCCTTCTAGCCTTCACATTGCACCATTCTATGGTCCATTTGGTCCCCTTATCATTTTGTGGTGCTGTGACCCCTCATAACACATTTTATGTGAACATAGAGGCCGAGTGGCTTCTGCTTCATTCTCACTAAGAATGCTTGAGGTCGTCACTCTTCTGTGGAGAGCTGTTATGACCCATAAAGAGGTTTTGTTTGGGACTTTGAGGTGATTATGTTGCCCCCTCATAACATCTTTGTTGTTATGTTCTTGCCCTTTATTTCTTTTTCACAATTTCCTGTTTTACGACAAGATTGTTTCAGTCGCACCTGATCAACTGTAATCTGATCTGCATGGCTTGTACTTCTGCTTGGACATATAAACTGTGTCTCAATTCAGGGCCTGCAGCCCATTTAGACCTCCCTCTGTGTGGGTCGTAGGCCATCCATGTAGGCTGCATWAAATGACGGTCTAGTTTTTAGACCACGTGTTGCCCTGTTTCAATGGTGATATGTTTTATCCCATGCCTTCAGTTGGAACATGTAGGGAGACATAACTTCACAAAATTAAGTATTATTTAAAACTATTACAGGTAAATAAAAAAAWTAATAATAATAATGATAATTTGGGTTTAGCTCTGGTATCAGCACTTGTAACTGCATTTTATTTAACATCTTATATCAAATTTCATCAACTAAGTTGCAAAACATACACTTGAGAACAAATTCTGTGGTCCGTGATGAATTTCCAATTTCGAACTTGGTAGATCGGGATGTCCCAATCCGATATCAATATCGGATATTGGTCCAATATTAGCCAAAAACTGAATATCGAATGATATCGGCCTGCAACTAAAATCTCCAATATTAGTACTCCAATACAAGCAGTCCATCCACTAGTCTGCTCAGGATTTCTATCCAGTAGCACTTGAATTTAGCATCCATCCATCCATCCATCCATCCATCCATCCATCCATCATCCATTATCTATAGCCTCCTATTCCTTTCAGGGTCACGGAGGTCACTGGTGCCCATATCCAGCAGTCATAGTGCGAGGGGCTGGGTACACCCTGAACAAGTCGCAAGTCCATCACAGGACCACACATAGAGACAAACAACCATTCACTCTCTCACTCACACCTAGTGATAATTTAGAGTTATCAATTAACCTAACAGTCATGTTTTTGGTCTGTGGGAGGAAGCCTGAGCACTTGGAGAGATCCCACGCATGCACGGTGAGAACATGCAAATTCTGGATTTAGCATAAATATCTTAAGTGACCTTGAAGAGTTTTTTATACTTTAAAAATTATATATTTTATTGGATTTATTGATTCATTTATTGTTTGATGACAGCTCAATGAATCCTGAGAAACTACGTAGGACAGATTTGTGGGATGCATGAGTCAGTGACTAYGAATTGGGACAGCCTACGATGCATTGCTGTGATGTAATCAGCCAACAAATGCACCCTACGTTGGCTGCAACCACTGAATTGAGACACAACCATAGTTATAACGGCATCTGTCTCCACCCCAGTCAGAATGAGTGACTGGTGTTGACGAGTCTCGTCTTACCTGTAGACCAGCGAGTCATCCTGGCTTCCGTTGTATTGTATCTGGAACATCCTGATGCCTGGTRTGTTCCTCTGGAAGTTGAACTTGATCAGTGCGGTCGAGGACGTGGCCTCGGCTGTCACCACTCTTTTATCAACCCCGCCCTTCACGTCGCCTGTCACATTGCTGCCATTAGCACCGCCTCGGGTTGACGTAGAAATGTCTGACGATCCGGGGTCGGGTTCTTGAATGTTGTTGGTGTTGTTGGAGATGTGAGGAAGTTTGATGATAACTAGGTCTACAGTCTGGTGAGCTTCACCGGCAGGGTTGGATGAGATGCAGGTGAATGAGCCGGTGTCCTTCACAGTACTGATGAGGATGTCCAGAGTCCCGTTGTTGTAGACCACAGTTCTGGAGGAGTTAGACACCAGTTTGCCTTCAGGAGAAATCCAGTGAATAGCTGGCTCCGGATCCCCCCTGGCCTTACACCTTTAAAAAACAGACATCCAAAGCAAAGGAAACTTATTAGAAACAAGACAGAATGGGGTCAAGTTGGTGAGAAGTGAGCAGAAAAAACAGAAAATATTTGAGATTGGATTCTGGAATCACTCAGCTGTCCCCATGGACTTACAGAAACTGCTGAGAAACACGATCTAAAAATAATTATGTAGTGTCAGAAATATATATATA